TACCACCCTCCCTGGTAGAAAAAAATCATGGGACTAGCTACCACTGCTAGACTCCATAGTGGCGCTTATGTAATCTAGCGGTGCTAGCTAGCGCCACGATTTTTTTCTACCAGGGCTCCCACACTCAGAAAAAAATTCGTTTGAAGCAACAAAATTTTTTTTAAATCAACAAAATAAATGCATTGATATACAGTTAACCAAACATTTGGTAAACCATAAACGTTTATTTAGCTCAATTTTTTTCTTTGTTCAAAAAATTTATTAAAATAAACCAAACAGTTATTTAGATCAAATAAATATTTATTTGAATTAAACAAATTTTGTTTCAACTAACCAAAAAATTGGGTAAATATAAAAAAATGGTACATTTCCCAGATAGCACAGAAACTTGCAGCAAGCTTGCGGCAAGTTCACCGTGCAAGCTTGTCTGAGCTAGCGAAATGTCCCACCCAGGGCAAGCTTGCCGTGAAAGCTTGCTGTAAGCTTTTCAGGAAAGGTTGCTACAAGATTGCTGCAAGCATACTAAGAATGATTGCGGCAAGCTTGCCGTGAAAGATTGCTGTAAGCTTGCTACGTAAGGTTGCAGGAGAATTTCAACAAGCTTCTGGAAAGATTGCTGCAAGGTTGCTGCAATTTTTAAAAAATACATTTTAAATTAAAAAAAAATTTATTTGTTTTTTTTTCAATTTAAAAATCCTTGTGACGTTTATTATTATTAATTATGTCCTGTTTATTTTCATTTGGAAACTTAACGAGAAAATTTTAGAAACAAATTTGAGGCGACTGGGAAACTAAAAATAAATAAATTTGTTTATAAAAAATTAATATTTTTTAAAATAAAATTTATAATATAAGTTTAATTTAAAAAATTAAATACAATCGCAAGTAAAATTGCACAAATGTTATATATTATCAATAATATAAAATATATAATTAACCTTTCTTAATAGAAATTATAAAAAATAGTTAAACCTACAAACTTATATATATTTCAATGGTCAATAAAATTATTGTAATTTGTTTCTGGATGTTATTCTTCAGTTTTTTTTCCAAAAGTGAATTCTAAACAAAAATTTAATGTTAATTTAAAAATAATTTAGATAATTTTTTTTTAATAATTACCTAATTTCAAGAATTTAGTATATTCATTATTTATTAAATCATTATATATTTGTGATGAGTTAATTTGTAAACTAATTTTGTTTTATGTAAATTGAATTGAATTTAATGTTAATTTATTTATATTTGATATAATAATTAATAAATTAAAGTAAATAAAAAAATAATTAAATAGTTAATTTGCATAATTATATATACATTATAATTAGTTTATAAACATTTTTATTTTTACTCAACTGTTTTTATATATTATAAAAAACTTTGGTTTTATAATAAACATATTTTTATATTTATTTTTTGATTTTTTAAAATAATAATTTGCAATATATATTATAAGAAGGAATGAAAATTCTTTATGTTTTCGATTTTATATATAATAAAATTAGTTAGCTGACTAATTTAATTAATATTTAATTTGTGTTGGGTTACTAAAAATTTCAGACACTTTTTCCTAAGTATACCAAAAAGTAAGTAAGTAAGTAGTAAGTACTAAGTATTACCTGGAGTGAAACTTATCTCTGTTACAGTTAAAGCTTTCTTTTCGTATACAATAAATTACAAAACTGCCAGTACTCGGCCAGTACTGAACCAGTAGTGGTTACCAATACTGGTGCCAACTCTGGTAGCCAATACTGGTAAAATGTTATCATCCCAAAGTTACGCCAACACACAAAAAACAAATACTAAAACCATTAACATCTTAAAATCAAAATGCCTTAAAACTAGTGTAATTTTAATCTTAAATCTAGATTAAGTCAATTTTAGGACTTAAAATCATACACTCAAGGCTGAAATTCAGTAAAAATGGTTCTAATGTTAACGGTTTTAGTCAAAAGTGAACTGAAAGTAAGTATTATTTTTTAGTGTGAACTCTAGCGCCAATACTGGGTGCCAGTACTGCGCCAGTATTTGTCAATACTGCGCCAGTACTGCGCCATTAGTAAATTTTTGATTGGGAAATAATAGAAAATAAAATTAACAAAAATGATAAATAAAGATAAAAAATAAAAAAATTTTGTAAAAAAAGTAATAAAATAATTATATAATAATTCAGTCAAGACGAGTGTTATTTGATTGCTTCTTTTTTTATAGGAAAATTTGAAAATTAGACTATTAATTGCCATATATATGTATATTAATTTGTATATATGGGAATCTTGCACATAGTATATTGAATATTGAGAAAATATCTTCTTTTTTTTTCTCGTGAAGGACAACAACGTTGAAGAGACCAATCCAATATCGCGTTTCGAAGGACAAAAAGCCAACGTAACACACGTTGTTTGATCGATGAAACAAAAGTCTAATATAAAATCGTCAGGGGGGATTCTCAAGGATCTTTTTCCCATGAATAAAAAATCAACATCATTTCAATTTACAATTCTCAAGAAAAAATAACAAATTACAGTTTTTCTTTTAAATAATCAATTTATAAATGACTTATCGCTATCTTCTTAATACTATGATTCAGAAAAAAAAAAAATGTTTCTTGAACAAAAAATATTATAAAATATAGCAAATAAATTTCGTAACAATTTTTTTTATTATTATTATTATTATTATTATTACAAATTATATGTTGTTTTTGCATAATTAATTTGCAGGAGAAAATAATTTCTATAGGATGCAAGAATGTGGAATATGTGTCTTATATTTGATCGTTTCCCTTTTTTTTTTTTTTTATTTATTTTCTTAGCGTTTGTAAAAACAGGATATGATAAATTTTCGATAATTTTTTTGTCTTTTTAACTTTTCAACACCCACACGAAATAAGGCAAACATTATTTGAGACAGAGCTATAGAAGAAATTGCAATTTAGACACTAGAATTTTAATATGAATAGGTACTTGGACATTGAAGTGCTACTTAAAAGTGGAATTTATTACTTATGAGTTTCTCAATTTCAGGGCTAAAGAGTGTTTTGAATTGCGCTCCAAATATGGGAATACGATACAAGTTTTAGATTATCATTTTTTTTTTTTTTTTGAAAATATACAGTTTTTTTTAGTTATTTTTATTATATTATTATATTATTATATTATTATATTTTACATACTACATGAATGGGGGAAAAAATTTATTTCATTCATTTATTATTAATAAATATTGGAACAAATAATTTTTAAGATATACTCTCTAAATCTCAATTAGTAAAAATGTTTACTAATTTGAATTAGTGACTCACTTTTTGCTTCTGAATTAGTTAAATTTTACTAATTGTTAGTAAAAGTTACTAATAATTAGTAAAATTTTACCAATTCAGAAGCAAAAAGTGAGTCACTAATTCAAATTAGTAAACATTTTTACTAATTCAGATTTAGAGAGTAAGAGATTATTGTTATATAGTAATAAATTAAATTAGAAGAAATTTTTTAGTAAAATATTATTTAGTTTTAATAAAAAATGATAAAAATTATATAAATTTTCACTAAATTACTTAACGAATTCTTACTAATTTACTAATATGTTCACTAATTCAAATTAGTAGAAAATTCCACTAATTTTTAATTAAATTTATACTATTTGATTTGATTTTCTTTACTACATATAAAGTTTTAGTGAAAATTGACTAGAAATTTTCACTAATTTTTAGTAAAATGCCACTATTTTATTTAGTAATATTTTTTATTAAAATTTTAGTTGAAAATGACTAAAAATTAGTAGAAATTTTCACTAATGACTAAAAATTACTCTCTAAAGAATTAGTAAAAAGTGATTACTGATTTAAATTAGTTCCTCACTTTTTGCTTCGCAGTATTAATTAAATTTTACTAATTGTTAGTGAAAGTTACTAATAATTAGTAAAAATTTTACTAATTGAGAAGTGAGTCACTAATTCAAATTAGTAAACTTTTTTTTTAAGCAAATTATTACTACAATTTATTAATATTTTCGTTTACTAATGCTTGGCTAAAAAATGAAGAAATTTTAGTTTTTACTAAATTAAATTACTAAACTGATTATTAATTCAAATTTAGAGATTATATTTTAAAAGGAATATACTTGAATTAAAAATAAATAATTCCTTCATGTTAAACAGGTATATTAGTAATAATCATTATTTACGTCTGCCTTTATCTTGTAAATCGAAATCTGTTACACTTTCACTTAATCTTGACATTTGTATTTCTTTTTCTATTTTTTTTTTTTTTTTTTTTTTTTTTGATATTTTTTCATAAAAGTAGTATTGTAGGTTCCGAGCATGTCGTCGTCTGACTCATAAGATTTACATCAGTTTAATAGCAACACCTTTATCACTTGAGGTATATGGGACAGTTATTGCTGTCCCATATACATTGTCCTGTCTGCCGAGAGAAGAGGAATGTATATATAGTACTCAATGTTTTTTAGATTAGGTCTCTAATCATTCAACTTTTTGCATATTAATATTGTTGATATTTAATTAACATTATTAAGAAATGCAATTTATTTTATAAAAAAAAAAAATAATTTTCTATGCTGCAAAAAATAATAATAATTGCTATTCTTTTTGGTTTTATTTACATGATGCAGTAACTAAATTAATTTTTTATATTAGAATCGACTTTTTTCTGGAAAAATAGTTTTTTTTTTTTTGTCATTTTATGTGAAAATTGTGTAACGAAGAAAACAGTGAATTTAGTGTTTATAAAAGGTAACTGAAACTTAAGGTATATAAATAAGGACTTTGAATTTGCAGAGTGGAAGCACAAAGGCGCTACAAAGGAGAAACAAATGCTGAAAAAATAAAAAAAAAATAAAAAAAAAAAAAAAAAAACTCAGTGTAGACAGAGAAGTAAGAAAACAAGAATGAGGATAAGACTTGCGAGAAGATGGCAAAAAAGAGAGGGAATAAAGAGAGTTCAGTGAAGAGATGAAAGTAGTGGGGCCAGTATATACGAACAACTAAAGCACGTGGAGCCTTGCCGACATTCTGACTCTCCTTCAGTAGTGCATTCACTGCCATTTCGAATACTTGACCGAAAAATAATTACAATTTCAAAAAAAAAAAAAAAAATTATATTCTCCGAAGAAAAAAAACAAAATTTCATTAAAAAATAAAAAATGTGATTAATAAAAAAAAGAAAAAAAAAAAAAACTTGTATGAAAAGATAGAAGGTAGAAAAATTTTTGGAAATGAACGAAATTTGGAAATTTGTAACAATTTTCAATTTTATTATTAAAATAGTGTCAACGGGAAATTTAAATCACGAACATGGATTTGCTCATAGAAACAATTGGTCTAGGCACAGTGTACATAATCGACATAATCATGATATTAATAACAATAATGATGATCAATGGAGTCGATTGACGACGCGTGATCATTTTCAAGAGACAACAAAAAATCCAATGATTCAGAATATTGTCATTGATAAAAATTTCAAGGACACCGAACGAAATCATGAGAAAAATATTCGTCATCATATGATGGATCATCGGCATATTGATAATAATGATAAACGATTAACATTTAAAAATCATGATAAATTCAGTGCAATGGCAATTAATGATTATAATAATGGAAGAAGTCAAGCATTGGCCTATGCTACATTTCACGATAATTATCGTTCAAGAGAAAATAATTCACCGGTATATCATCACGTGACGACGACAACGATGACGCCAACAATATATACCAAGCATCATTCTGGGTATGTTAATTAAAACTTGAAAAAAAATAAAAATATTTTTGCCGCTTTTTGCCATATAAAAATCATTAGTATTTTAATTTTCCAGAATTTTATTTACTAATTGTTTTCTTTTTTCTGAATTAACATTTTATATTTATTTTCAAACGAATTTTTACTTAACAGAATTAATCAAATTTTAATTTAGCATAATTTTTTAAATGTCATAAAATTTTCAATTTAGCGAATTTTCATTTTGTCCGAAATTGCAGAAACGGCCGAATAAATAATCGAATGAAAGATTTCGACGCGATTATATATATTTATTTAAAAAAAAAAAAAAATTACGATTTTCTTGATAATTTTTGATTGGTCAATTTTAAAAATCGCGGCCGAATTCTTTCTCGTCGATTGGTTTTTTGGACAAATGTTGGAAATGACATTTAAAAATATGAATTAAATTCTGTATTCGATATAAATTTTGTCGAATTATTTTTAAATAAAAATCTAACAAGAAATTTTGTAAAATAATTATTTTGCCTAACTTTTTTTTTGCAAAATACTTATTTAAAAATTTTTGCAAAGTAAAAATTCTTTTTAAAAATTTGGAATTCTATTAAGTGTGTCAATTCGAAAAATATTCGTCTAAAAAATAATTATGTATATAATAAAATTCTTGAAAATTCTAACTATAATTATTTTTAGTTTTCACTGTAAAACGAGAGGTATATCAAATAGCAACTTTAAGGTACTAAATTTTGGTTCTATTTTAATACATAAAATTGATACTATTTTAGTTACCTTCTTTGTATACAGTGTTGACAATTTTGGCGTTAATTTCAAAATTCGCCAATCAGAAATTATTAAAAATGAAATCATGATTGATTAAAAAAATTCAAATTTTTCTGCTAGATACCTATTTATTTTGAACTCTGTAAAGAAAAAATTCTTAGTAAATTTTTAATTAATAAAGAATTTTTTAAATTATAACTAAAATAATTTAAAATAGTATTAATTATTAAAAATAGTGGATAATTTTTTTTTTTTTTTTATTAATTATATACTCAAGAGTTTATATATTTTGTTTTAAATTATCGTCCTGTAATAAGGTAACAATCATATTTCACGAAAAGTATTTTTTTTTTCGTCTGAAAATCCTCATTATTTAAAGCCAACATCCTCATCACACGAGATCGTGAATCGATTCGTTTGTGTCTAATGAGATTGATAATAAATTCTGCGATCGTCTCTGCGTTAGGAGTGTATATATATATATATATATATATATATACTTATCAATTCGTATTCTTTTCTCTGAAAGTGAATGGAAACTCGTGGGAGAATAAATTGTACTGAAAGAGAGTTTCAATTCAATACATAAATACTCTCGCAGTATATATATATATTGAGCAAGATTTAAGAGGATGTTAAATTCAAAAGCATTTAATATTCAATTTTTTTTTTATTTTCAATATTAAATTTAAAACATTTAAAATTTTTAATATTTAAATTTATTATTATTTTTTAATAAAAATTTTTTATTAAATTTAATTGTATTTTGAATTTTATTTAATATTTAGAAAAAATTTAATATTTTAAAAACTTGAAATTATTAAGTATTTTTAATTCAATGAAAAAAAAAAAAAAATGCGAAATATAGATTTCTTTTTCTTTTAAAATCAAAAAGTTTCGAGTGGTGTTTTGTTTTTTTTTTCTGGGTTTTTAATTTTACGTACAGGACGGTTCAATTTCCTTCCAAGTCAATTCTCAAGTCGCTTGCTATTTATAACATGATCTTTTTTCATTTGCTGCGCTAATCCTATATAACTTGCATGGCAATAAACGAGTATATATATATATATATATATACTTTTCAGACAAACGGAAGTAGTATAAACTTTGACATTACATATATTATATATATTTATCTAGTATTATTAATCTTAATTATATAATTCTAAAATATATATTTACAGTTGGAAAAGAGATTTATAATTTTTTTTTTTATTAAAATAAAATATAAATATTACTATTATTTAGTAATATATTTTTTTTAACTAAATTTTTAAAATTTCTACTAATTTTTAGTTATTTTTCAAAAAAAAAATTTTACTATATTTATTATATTATTTTATTATTATTATATTATTATTATTATTATTATTATTATATTATTATATTATTATTATATTATTTTACTATACAAATTAGTTAAAATTTCTACTAATTTCAATTATAGTGAACGGATTATTGAGGAAAAAAAATTTTTTAATCCTAGAACAGCGATAAGTTTCACTAAAACAACGAAAGTTTTCGCTATTAAAAAACATATCGCTGTTTTAGATAAAGATTTTTTTTCGGTGAATTATTGAACCAATTCAAAAGAGATCATATTTTTTGTTCTAAGAGATTCAATTCCTTTTTTTTTGGCAATGAAAATAAAAATTACATATCAAAATTGAGAAAAAAAAAATTGAAGGAGGTTGAAGTCCTTACTATTTAGAGTCAGAAAGTGCAATGAATCGTGTGTGTATGTGTGAAGCAGGGAATAGAAGGACCGCTGCTCAAGTTACCCAGATGTATATATGCCTCGAGTGAAAAAAAATATTATAAACCTGTCCCTCTTTATATATGTGTGTGTGTGTGTATGCGTCAACATATAAGTGCCACGGTGCACCTTTTACGCATTATCAGGCGCACAGCACGCAAATACATTTTTTTCAATTTTTCTTTTTTTTTAATCTTTATATATATATATACATACTTCTTTGCCTCTTGAAGCTCATACTTAGATATAGGCTACACGGAGGCTCCGTTGCAATCTGTATTTCGCGTCAAAGATCACGCCTACTCAAAACGAAACCGGGCTTTCACTGCGTGAAAAATAAATTACTTGATTTAAAGAAAACTGCTTTCTTGAATTGTATAATTTCATTTTTATTATATTTTTTACAACAAATTAAAAGTTATTATTTATCATTCACTTTTAATTATATTACTAATTTTTATATAAAAATTTACCTGGAACAGCGATAAGTTTCATTGGAATAGCGATATATGTTTCACTAAAATAGCGACAATTTTTAGCTAATCTAGAGAAACATATCGCTGTTACAGATTATTATTAATATAATTATTATTTGTTTCAAATTTGGCATTATTTTTTTTTTTTGAATCGAAGAAATTAATTTCTAAATATTTTTATAAAAAGCTTTATTATCTAACCTTGACACTGGTCCTTATGGTGATTCAAAATTATTTCGTTGAAGGAAAAGAGGAAAAAAAATTAGGGAGAGGAAACAGGATCATTCTTTTTTTTTTTTTTTTTGATGAGCAAGCACCGTATGGTCGAGGCATTCATTTTGGCGAGTCGCCAAAAAACATTTGTGCCTTTGATTTACTTTGAGATGGTCCATTCATTTTTTACGCTTATTTATCTTTCCTCTCGCGTTTACCTAGAAATGTTGAAAATGTGTTACATGGCAAAAAAAAAAGAACGATTGAAAAAAAGCAGATAAACTTTGTATTATATACGATTTTTTTTTTAACCTTCCGTTTTGTGCAATTTAATTTTAGGTATTTGATATATTAATTATTTTTTTTCAAGTAGCTTCAATAAAGCTTAAATAAAATTGAACAAAAATTGAAGGGGAAAGAAATAAGGTTTGTTTTAAAACCAATTTTCTTTCGATATATATATATATATATACAAACACGAACAATTTGAACCTAATTCCACCATATATAGCCTCAGGACAGATCGTGATTTCTATCTCGATTGCTTGCAAATAAAAAATTTTTTCTTTTTATTCAAAATGCTTTGACGCAAAATAAATATACAATATATATATATATATATAAGAAGAAAAATAGGTTTTTTTTTTATTAATATTATTATTATGGGAATAATATATATTGTAAAAAATTTAAAAAATTTAATTCATATAAACGATCACATTTAGAAATATATTATATGGTATAAGTTTAACATATACATTTTCTCATACAAAACGGATCTGTCACGCAATAGCGCAAAATTCAATTGCACTTGATGAATTGTCATTTTGTCGCGTGCCATATACGAGCGAGAGAGAGAGAGAGAGAGAGAGAGAGAGAGAGAGAGAGAGAGAGAGAGAGAGAGAGAGAGAGAGAGAGAGAGAGAGAGAGAGAGAGAGAGTAAGAGATGTATTATTTCCGGCTGTCACTTAATTCCGCTTTGCGTTACAATATAAACTATATAGATTAAATCATTACTAATTAAAATTAACACATTCATTATTATTTAATTTACTCTCTAAATTTGAATTCGTAAAAATGATTACTTATTTTAAATTAGTCACTCACATTTTGCTTCTGAATTAATAAAATTTTATTAATTATTAGTAACTTTAACTAACAATTAGTAAAATTCAACTAATTCTAAAGGAAAAAACTAAATTAGTATTTATTTTTACTAATTCAGATTTAGAGAGTAAGTGAAAAAGAAACTGTTTTCAATATATTACAAAAAAAAATTTATTTGGCTCTAGTAAATATTTATTTGTATTAAATAATTATTATTTAAATCACAATTTTAACTGATAATTGCAAATTATTGATTTAAATCAAATTTATTTAATTTCAATAAAAATTATTTGATACAAATATTTTTATTCAAGTAATCGATTAATTAAAAAAAAAAATTTCTTTTAAATTAGAATTGAGAAAAAATCGAAGTACTAAATAATTGTTTTTCAAATGAAAACAAGAATTTTATTTTAATGTTTAAAATGAATTTGCTAACAAATTTTAATAGTTCATTATAGAGATGATACTATTGTGTCCAAAAAAAAAAAAAAAAAAAAAAAAAAAATAATGGGAAATTATTCTACATAATTTGATTTTAATAGAGTCTTAGAATGCTCGACGACAGGCATTTTCATTAACATATTATTGAGATGCATATCGTTTAGAAGTATAGTAAAGCGACCTAAGGCCGTGCAACAAATACGATATCACGACTTTAATGTTTAGTAAACAGTATGGTTTATTAGAAAATAATACCTATTCTTCTCATTTTTGTTAAAAAAAATTAAATAAATAAATTTCCATATAAATATATATATATGCGATAAGATTAGAGTATAGCGGAATTTAGAAATTGTGTGTTTGCACTCATATCTTCTCACTTGTTTCACAATAAAGCATAAAGTTTATTATATTTGAGATTTTTTATTATAACTTGGACATATATACTTAAATTTCTTCTTGCGGAGGCACCAAGAAATTAATAGTTTTTGTATATAGACAACATTTTATGGAAGAAAAGAACTTCAGCAATTGGACGTATAAATTACCTATATACTATATAGAAGAGAGATAGAAGTAAAAGAAAAAAAAAAAAAAAAAATGGCAATTGGCTTCTCGAGGGTCAGTGATTCCACGTATGGACATGCAAGAACGCTATATGTACGATACGATTTTTCTCTCATTCTTTCTGTTTCAACATGTTAAGAAGAGAAAAACGAGTTTCCTTATTCCTTATTCGTCAGAAACAATGCGCCACTATTAGAGTCAAGGCTATATCCAAAGATCAGGGTCAAATTTTTCCGCGCTCGTTTTTTTTTCGAATTTTTGATCAATTTTGTTATGCAAAATATTTTCTTTTAGAGAAGCTTTTTTTTTAGCTTTGAAAGGACAATAAAATAGAGGCGCCAACACAGAAAATTAAAAGGCGTTAAAATTGGCTGCAACGCTTCCAAATCAAAAATTTACTAATGGCGCAGTACTGGCGCAGTACTGGCGCAATACTGACAAATACTGGTGCAGTACTGGCACCCAGTATTGGCGCCAGAGTTTGCTTATTTTAATACCAAAATGGATTAAAATAAGCAAAATTGGATTAAAATAATAAACGTTGCAGCATATTTTAATGCCTTTCACTGTGATAATAACTAATGTCATAGTAACTAACTGTTACCATAGTAACTAATGCCGCAGTAACTAATGCCACAGTAACTAATGCCGCAGTAACTAATGCCATAGTAACTAATGCCACAGTAACTAATGCCGCAGTAACTAATGCCGCAGTAACTAATGCCGCAGTAACTAATGCCGCAGTAACTAATGCCACAGTAACTAATGCCACAGTAACTAATGCCACAGTAACTAATGCCGCAGTAACTAATGCCGCAGTAACTAATGCCACAGTAACTAATGCCGCAGTAACTAATGCAACAGTAACTAATGCCGCAGTAACTAATTCCGCAGTAACTAATGCCACAGTAACTAATGCCGCAGTAACTCACAGAAAATTAAAAGGCATTAAAATAAGCTGCAACGCTTCTTATTTTAATCCAATTTTGCTTATTTTAATACCAAAATGGATTAAAATAAGCAAAATTGGATTAAAATAAGAAGCGTTGCAGCTTATTTTAATGCCTTTTAATTTTCTGTGCTAATGCCGCAGTAACTAATGCCATAGTAACTAATGCCACAGTAACTAATGCCATAGTAATTAATGCCACAGTAACTAATATGACATTAGTTACTGTGGCATTAGTTACTATGGTGTGGCATTAGTTACTATGGCATTAGTTACTGCGGCATTAGTCACTGTGGCATTAGTTACTATGGCATTAGTTACTGCGGCATTAGTTACTGCGGCATTATTTACTGTAGCAACGCTTCTTATTTTAATCCAATGTTGCTTATTTTAATACCAAAAAGGATTAAAATAAGCAAAATGGGATTAAAAAAATAAGAGTTGCAGCTTATTTTAATGCCTTTTAATTTTCTGTGAATGAAATACACAAAAGCTCGGTATCTTTAACGAGACTTTAATTTTGACTTCGGCCTAAAGCAAAATACTAATATGGCTCTCTTTATGAATTTGTATATTATTAGTATATATGTAAGCTTATTTGAAAACTTGTTTTTCAAAAATGAACATTTAATGTCAAAGGGACGACACGATTACATTGAAGAATTTTTCAGAGAATGCAACTGCTGGGCACGCGGATGCCTTTGGGCTGATGTAAAGCAAAATTTCCAAATTGCAAAATTACTTGATTATAGGTTGCTACGGTCGTTGAAGTCAAGTAATTACGCACCTACTCGGTGCCAATATAAGAAGCTCACAGCATCCCTCATTACATTGACCTCTTTCTTTTTTTTTTTTTTTTTTCTTTTTTTCCTCTCATCATTTTTTCGGGTGATAATCTTTCTTTCACTGCAATGCTAATTATTATTGTACAACTATTATAAAAAAAAGAACTTTCATTCATTTCTCAAAATAAATATTAAATGAAGTTTTTCTTCAATTTATTCACTGAGAAAAAAGGTTTGAGCTGACAACCAAATATTTCATTTAATATATGTGCAACTAAAATTTTTTGGTTGACACAACTAAACTTTAGTTGACATCAACCAAAGTTTGGTTGAGACTACCAAATTCTTTTTCATTTTCTTATTTAGTCGTCTGAAACAAACTTTGGTTGTTGTCAACTAAAGTTTAGTTGTGTCAACCAAAAAATTTTAGTTGCACATATATTAAATGAAATATTTGGTTGTCAGCTCAAAGCTTTTTTCTCAGTGTTATAAATATAAATTTTTTGAGATTTTAGATTTTATATAATAGTAAAAAAAAGTGAAATAATAAAAGTAAAAAGAGAAAACAATTTTACTTGAAGATTTATTTTTGTTTACCCCAAATTTGAAGGTCAATCTTCCCACACGCGCAATAAATGAAAAATTCTATGACCTAATTTTTTTTGTTTTTTTTTTTTTTTCAAATTCTCCTTTCTCGTAATTTTTATTTTCAATTTAATTGATATGGCGTTAAATTATCGCATTATTGAAAATCAGAGTTTATTTCTTCATTTATAATTCCTTGGGGCAATTTTTTTTTTTTTTTATCATCATTGGAAAAAAAAATCCAGAAAAAATATCAACACAATTTCTTTATGCAATTTTTTTTTTACGAAAAATAAAATCTATTTAAAATCAATAAATATTTATTCGGCTCTGAGACAAATATATATATATATATATTTCTCTGAAATTTTTTAATAAATTCTTTCGTTGCAATTTTTTTTTTTAATAAAAAATATTTATGCCAATAGTATATAGATATATATATATTTTTTTTTAAATATAATAAAAATTTGTTTATGATGATGAAATAATGTACATAAATTTTTAACACACTAAAAAAAATCATGTGTGTCACAAAATTTACAATCTACTTATCCATTCAATGATTTTGAATGGAACTCAGAAGCTTGAAGGAAGGTGTCAGTCATCAACTGTGTTTAATAAGGAAATTGTCTGTCGCGATGAAACAGCTCTTCATCAGTCAAACTTCTTTTTATTTTTAGTTCTTTTCAATATACATATATATAAGAAAGTAATTTTAAATTATTGTTACATGCAAATAATTTTTGACACTTATAAAAAAAAATCTTTACTTATTTATAATAATTATAATTAAAATTATATTATTAATGAAATTCTTTGATTTTCACATAAAACTGAAATTTAAATAGTTAATAATAATAATAAGAATAAGAATAATAATAATAAGAATAATAATAATAATAATAATAATAATAATAAGAATAATAATAATAATAATAATAATAATAATAATAGTAAATGAAATAGTTTCATGTTTTTGTAATTTAATTTTGTTTTTATTAAACATAATTGATTTATGAACTTTTGTATATAGATTTTTAGTGCCAAATCGTGTTTTTGACATGGATGAATTTAAAATTATAATCAATCATTAAATTACGCATATTTACGGAATGATTTATTCTTACTTTATAGATTCTTTATAGAGAGAATATAGAGAAAGTAGAAATTAATTTTTCAAAGAAAATTTTTAATTAAATCAAAATTAAATTGTTAGTAAAATATCAATTTTATTTTTTTTTTATTTTATTTTATTTTTTTATATATAAACAATTTTCCCTCTTTTTTAATATTTAATTTTCTAAAATTCATATTTAGTGGAACTATATTTTCTAACGTTGACGGGGAAGCTATAAACACAACATTTGAATTATGTAAAATGTTTCGCTTACTTTCATTTCAAATGATTTGTATAGCATATATATACACCTACACTTTTTCTAAAAGATAAAGTGTTTTGTTTAGAAAAAATAAATTCAATATTTTATTAAATAAAATTTTAATCTTTAAAATATATTATTATATTAATTTTCGTAAATTAATTATTAATAATTATTAATTAATTTTAAATTTAAATTAGTGAAAAGTCGTTTCGAATTTTTTGATAAAGACAATTTTTTTTCTTTTTTTCTATTTAGAAACTAATATTTTATACATATATAGAAGTGATACAGAAATCAAGGAGGCTGTGGATTCATTGTTATACGATAGTTAAAGTCGTGTCGTATTCTGCGAACATGACAGCGACAAGAAGAATCGCAATATTCTCTATACGATTCTGACGATGACGAAGTGGTTCTGTTCAGTGAAACTCCCTATTTCCTTGCTTAGTTCGTTGCTCCTCTCTAACCCCTTTTTTCTTCTCCCTTTTACAATCATCTTCTACTTCGGTACGCCCTTTTTTTTTTAAAAATAATTTCAACTTTTGTTCCTTTTCTTCTCTACTTTTTCTTTCCATGAAATCGTTTCATTTTTTTTCCAAGTTACATGAAAAAAAAAAATTCAATTATTATTACAATTTTTCTTTCTATTTTTCAGACGAAGAGTCTGTACCAGAACAATGCCAACTTCCGTTTCTCATCATCACAGAGGCAGACAAATAAGGTATAAAAATTTTTTTTCCCAAAAAAAAAAATAAAAATTAATTTTGCAAAATATTTTCAGACTCGTTTACACTGAATTCTCCTCGGGATTCCTTTGTTGTCCAGGTTGGACGCAAGTTACAAGATTGAGTTTTGGTTGTAATAAACGTGAGTATGCAAAAAGAAAAAAAAAAAAAATTCTACTGTGAATATAATTTTAAATATAAAAATTTTTTTTTATTCAAAACTATATATTGAAAAAAGGAATTTTATTTATAGCAACTTGTACAGAACCTTGTCAAAACGGTGGAGTCTGTACATCTCCAGGGATTTGCACGTGCCCCAAGGGATTCACTGGCAACCAATGTCAGACAGGTAATAATTAACAGTATACAACTGATCGTTTAGTGTCCCTTTGCTTCCTTTTCATCGATCTTTCCTTTACTATTTATACGCCTCTATTTTCTCTCTATACATAACTATTTATCTTATCTTTCTTCATTTCCTTTTCCGTTTGTCTTATACATATTAAATAAAAACTAGACAATTATTCCTAAAGAATAGATCCAATCCACGATATTACCTGGAAAATAATTAAAATAAATTATGTGGCAAATTTAAAAAAAAAATTTTTTTTTTAAATATTTTTTTTCTAAGAAAAAAATATGATATATTCATTAAGAATTAATGTTTTTTTTTTTTTGAAAAAATTAAATAAACCTTGGTTTAAAATAGGATGTTTATAAGATCGTTGTAATTAAATCGGTAATTAACGATATGTGGATCGATAGCATATCGCGGTGAACATACCTCATTGGTATATTGTAGTTCTGGACAGTTGGAGAGACGATAGATTTACGATCGATTTCATTACTGCACGGAACGTTCTAATTACCGGGTCCGATGTCCTCTACAATCAGCTTCTGAGATTCTTCTCCAGTTTGCAATTTCGAACGAAATAAAAAGTACAGAAAAAAAAATGTAACAAATTATAACGAAGGATGATCATCACTGATTAAAATTGCAAACTTCAATCTATAAAAAATAAGATTGAAAGTTCAATTATAAATCTTAATTTTTTAATTTTATAATAAAAATCATCTTTTTTTTTTTTTTGCAGATATTGATGAATGCCTGACAGAGAAACCTTGCGCTCAATTTTGTAGAAATCTTCCTGGAAAATATGAATGCTATTGTCGTTATGGTTTTCAATTGCAAAGTGACGGTCAATCTTGTCGAAAAAATGGTAAGAAAAATTAAAAATTTTCTGAAAAAATAGATTTGTAATACAAATTTTTTTTTTTTTTTTTTTTTATTAAAGACAGTGATGGCACTGCGTTTGAAGCACATGATTTGGAAAATGGTTTTGAAATAGAAACGACAACGCGTTCAAATTTTCGTGACACGGAAAATGAAGTTGGTGATAATGAAGATGAACGGGATTACGAAGTAATTCTAAAGAGACTTACTAAACTCGAAAAGGTAATAAAAAAACAAATTTTTAACTTCAAATGATGAAAATTATTATTATTTTTTTTTTTTTAGCAATTCGCTCGAGGCAAAAAGAGAGAAACAGAGTCTACAGATATGAATGTAAAATTATCTTCAGCAGTTGAAAGTATCAATGAAATAAAACGAGCAGTTGAGAATGTGGTATGAATATTAGACAAAAAATTAAATTTTTAATTATTAAATTATAATTTAATAATAATAAATGTTTTTTCAGCAATTAATGCAACAGGAAATATATGATATGAGAAGTAAATTAAAGGAATTTGAATTCGAGACAAGAAGAATGCAACATTTATCTAATCGTGTAATAGATTTGGAAAATAGACTACGTTTACGTTGTAGATCTTAGAGAAAAAAACAAAAAGTGACTGACATTTTTTTTTATTTGCATTTATTTCATGTATATTTAATAATAATTGTTAAAATGTATTTTTATCTGACGATATTTACATTATTAAATCTTTGTAACAAAAGATGTGTGTTTTAATGAAAAATTCGATTTCTAGAAATATTTATAAAAATATTGTCTAAAAAAAACAATGATGATAAAAATTATGAATCACGTACTTTTAATTTGTAATTTTTTCTTTTCTTTTCTGGACAATCGTTTTGTTTGTTTGGCTGTTGCTTTTTTTGATTTTGATCTTCCCTTTTTGTTTTTTATAATTTTTCTTTTACTCATCCAAATTGGATAATTTCCATGTTGATCACGCATTGTCTTTGAATTAAATACTCTTTTACCGTCTTCATCCATTAATTCCATTTCTTCAATATTATTTGTTTTCTCATTTGATGATTCTTTCATTGTTTTAGCATCGACGACTGTCAATAACAGTAATAAAATATTAGTTTAAAAATTAAAATAAAGAACTCTTTTTATTTATATATTTTTTTTACCTGTTGCTATTTCTGTGATGTCTTTCATATCAACCTCGGTGGCAGTGGATTCATCGATTCCAAGTGTTTTCTTTAATCTTGCTAATTCTTTTGCTCCATATCGTTCTCGTTTAACTGCTCGACATTTTCTCCTCCATTTACTTCTCAAAGATTTTGCCATTTTTGTGAATGTTCTGAAAAAAAAAATCCAAATGCGTTCAGAAATTAAATTAAATTATTCATAACAGTAATTTAATAAGAATTTTAATTTTATGTAGAAAAAATATTTTATAATTATTATTTGACGTTATAAAACATAACCTCATTCTACTCACAAATATGAATATTGAACACTATTCAACAAGAAAAGTAATTTAAAAAAGAATTATATGACTATAATGTTTAAAAATTTACCTGTTTTAGATTTTTTATTAAATAAATTGATTTTGGAGATTATCAAACAATAGTTTATGAAAATAGTTTTTAAAGTTTATAAGCACGTGGTTTACTACTCCACTACCGTGAAGTATCAGTGCAGTGTTGCCATTTTCCAAAACCTGACACAATTATTCCCGCGAAAATTTTATTATTTAAAAATTTTGAAAAGAAATTCTAAACAAATTTTCGTTACTTCTTTTCAAAAATTTTTATTTGTAAATTTTTTAACATAAATTTAATTTAAATAAAAATAATTTAAATTCAATTTTAAAAAGTTAGATATCTTCATTGTAGACTTTTGATTTCCAACGTAATGGATTTTTGTAATCGAGTTTTTTCACAGAACATATTAATTGTTTTAAATATGAATTTTGTAATTTTGTAAATTTCTCCAACATTTTCTGAGCTGATTTAATTTTTGCCTCTTCAATACACGTTCCTTCACTTTCTTCTTTAAACGAAGAGACGATACATGCAACTTTATAATTATCAGAGTAAAAAAGATTGTCCTCTACAATTTCAAAATGTGGTTTCTTGAAATTATTATTTTTACACAATTCCTATATATTAAGAAAATAACAATGATTTTTTTTTTAGTAATTAATGAATTTTGAAAATTTGATGAAAATAAAAATGACTAACCTTAAGCATTTTAATTGAATTTTTTGATTTAATTTTTTTCTTTGACACACAATAATCATCGTTTTCGATTTTAATAGATTTTTTTGGTGATGACAATGAAGAGTGATTTTGATGAGAAATTGTTTCTAACATTCCCATCACTGTACCATTTACGAAAAATTTCACATCCTCACATTGTAAATCAAATTCCTCAGAATTTTGTAATTTTTGAACAGCATTTTGAATTTTTTCTATCATTTTTCTTGCTACCTCATATTTTGCTTCATTTTTTGTTTTGGCATTTGCAGATGTTTTAAATGTGGAAATAGTGCATGTAACAGTAACAATTGAATCGGCAATTGTTTCTTTGTAATCCGGTTTTTGTAAATTAATATCGTTACACATTTGCTGGAAACAATTTTTAAGATTCAAAATAATATGAAAAACTAATAAACGATTGAATTGTTTTATTTAATTTGATTGATTTAAAAAAAAAAATGATTTAGAAGAATAAACAAAGATAACTTACATTTAATATTTCAATTGAATTAAATAATGGCACATTGATAGGCTCATCGAAAATAACTTGAGTTAAATTTGTATCCTCTTTTTTTATTTCCAACAATTTTGATTTTTTAGATGAATTTTCGCACCAATCCGTAAATTCTGAATTTCTTCTTCTACTTTTTTTCTTCTCTTTTTTGATTTGATTTTTCCCTGAAAACGATTGTAATACACATTCTGCAGAATGTATTATTCTATTAAAATTTTCTTCTTCTTGTTTAATACGTTGCTCTTTTTGACATTCGATTTGTAATTTAGCCCAAGTTTTTCTCGCAGCTTCAATCATTGCCTTGACTAAAGTTTCTTCTGTAGCTGTTTCTTTAAATGATGATACAATGCATTCAACTTGAAAAACATTAGAAAATTTCTTAATATTGTATTTAGGAATAGTAAAATTATTACGAATACAAACATTCTGAAAAAGAAAACAAAAACAAGTTACTAATATTTATTATATAAAAAATAAATTATTAAAATATTTAAATAAAACAAAAAATAATTATTAACCTCTAAAGCTTTGGGTACATTAAGAGATGAGGAGTCTGAAGTCAATTTTGGATAAATTGAGTCTTCCATTGGAGTTATTTTTTTTTTAGGAAACTCATCAATTGGAAATTGAAGAATAGCATCAGGCTGAATATTTTTCATAATTTTGAACGATGATTGAAATTCTTTATTATAAGAATCAGTAGATTTATCTGATAATTTGAAAGTAGAATCAGCCTGTGATGAAATTTCTTCCAAAATTGCTTTAGCAGCATTATGTTTAGCTTCTTTTTTTGAAGAACCTGATCCAGTTTTAACGAGTCCATCACAAGTAACTTGATACGTGAAAATGCGAGGTATGCAACGAGTCAATGTTCCATCAATAATCAATTCATAACTAGGAAAACTTTTCTTTTTTTGCATTAATGTGTACAAAATTGCTGCTGGTGAATCACTCATTTTTGGCTAAAAATTCCTTTTTTTTCTATAAAAAAGAAAATGTCTTTATTTATATTTTGAAAGGGCAATATTTGTTTATATCTACTTTATAATTTATCATGTAAATTTAAATAAAATAATACTTATTAATGATTACATTAGAATTTAAAAACATTTTCTCATTCTAACCTTATATTAATCAAATACTGTCAACTAATTTAAAACATTTCTTTACAGTAGCAATCTTCTTTTTTTTCAAAGAATAATATTTTACACTAACTATCTTTAGTGAAATTATCAATTATAATTTAAAAGCTATTTCGCTATTTGTGTATTTACCGTTCAAAGATTTGTTTATGTTTACAAGGCTTGAAGTTACCGACAGACCAATTGTGACAGGAGTACCAAATAAAAGAAGAAAAAAAATTAATTTTGACAGACTGTAGATAGTTGTTACCAACTTCACACATGAAACAAGTCTAAGTTTTGGAGTCAATTACATTGACGTGTTATATATATTTTATCAATTTATGTACCTATTACATAAAATAAACAAGAAAATTTATTAAAAAACGATTCGAAATGTAAATCGGAGTTATTAAAATAGAAACTTATATTTAATTTTGAATTCTATATTAAGATAAAGTGTTATATTTACATATTTTTGAGGTTAGATAACAACTTTTATTTATTTATCTTTTACAAAACTTGTTATAAATAATTCTTTATTTATAAAATTTAAAAAAGGACGATCAGTACTCACTCATAAAACAAATAATATTATTTTTTCAATTTTAGTAAAATGGATAACGAGTACACTTTAAATAATTGTGTTGTCAAAGAAGAAGTTGATTTAACATTAGAAGAGGAAAGAGAAGATGAAGATGAAGAAGAAGAAGAAGAAGAAGAGGAAGAAGATACAAATTGTTTAGTGAAGAATTATGACCAAAATGAAAATAATGTCATACACAATCAAGCTGAATTTATCCAATTTGATGATAGTAAATCTAAATCGATTGTGAAATTTTCCACTAATTCATTGTATCGTTCTATAAAACCTGGATGTCAGAGTGAACACTGTAAATTAAAATGTCGCGATATTTCTCAATATGATAAACAAGCAATTTTTCAACATTTTTGGTATACATTAAATCTTGATGAAAAATTGGAATTCATTTCATGTCACATTGGTATTTGTGCAGGCGTAAAACGATCACGAAGAAATTATTTTTTTAAACTTAATAAAAGATTGAAAAAAGTTTGTTATAAAACATTTTTAGGAACATTAGATATAAACAAGTCATGGATTTTAAATTCATTAAAGAAATTTCAACGCACACCTAATGATACAATGAGTCATTTTATGTCAACAATTTGTAAAGAGTAGGTATTAATTTATATTATTTGTTACTTTAAATTTTGTTTATTAATAAATAATATGTAAATTTTTATATTTTAGAGGGAAATTAAAAGTCGAAAATAATGAGATTGAAAATTCTCCACAACAAAAAGAAGATATTGTATTGGATAGTTCAAAAATTCAACAAACAAAAGAATTACCTTTGGGATTAATTAAAGTAAAAAATACCAGTGAATTGCAATCGCATAATTCTAAGGAAAATGATAATTATGAATTTGAAACAATATTTTTAAATAGCGATGCAAATTCTGCTTCTCAAAATTTGTGAGTAATTTAATAAAATATATATGTAATTTTTTTCAAATTTACCTTTTATTTTTTGTTTTTTTGTTTATAGTAAAACGAAGACAATTGAGGGAATGGATGAAAGTACAACAAATGAAATTAAAGAGATTAAATGTGAAAATATCGAAGAATTAAATGACGATGATAAAAATTCTAATGTTAATAGTGTAAATATTTCCAAAATTTTATTGAACGATTCTACAACATCTAGAGAACCATGTCGTTCATGTAAAGCATGTTTTTTTCCACAAGAACAAAAGAAATATGTATCACAACATTTATGGAAAATAAAATCCTATTTTGGAAAAATTCAATATTTGTCAAATCATATTAAAGCTATAAAATCAGAACAAGAGAAATTTACTTATGAATTCTTTCTCGAATTTGATTCATCACAGTCTATTAAAGTATGTGTATATGGATTTCAAAATATTTTATCTGTTTGCGATGATTGGATAGTTGCTGCAATAAAAAAAGTACATGAATATTGTTCTAAACAAATATCGTAAGTTAATTTTTTATATCTTTTCTGTTTTTTATTCGCCATTTGAAAAATTCAATTTTATTTTCAGTGAAAATGAAAATGTTTCAAACAAGATATTAAATGATTTTGATAAAAAATTAACACACTTTTGGAAAAAAGCAAAAATATTAAAGGACATCTTTTACACAAGGACGAAAAATCAAATGGAACAATATAATGATAATCTATTATGTGATGAACAATGTGAATTATTTTGTCAAATAACAAAAAATCAATGGACAGAAATTTCCAATGAATTTTGGAATATTAAAACAGTTGAAGAATTACGTAAATACATTTTAAATCATGTTCAATTTTTCTCATTGACAAATAAGCCATGTCGAAAATATTTTCTAAAAATTGATGGTAAATTGAAAAAAGTTTGCAAATCATTTTTCCTTGAGTCATTATCAATTAAAAATGAAATAATTGAATTGATTGGCGCGGAAAATAATGCAATAATTATCAATTCAATTGATAATGAACCTATTTCAAATCAGTGAGTAATTAAACAATTAGATTTACGATATAAATTTTTACTATGAAATTAATTAATTTATTTTTTCAGATCAAAAATAAAATTGAACACTGAGGGAAATTGTTTGATTGGTCGAAAAGTGAGAATTCCGTGTGATGCATTTTATCATAATAATTGTCGTAAAATTTTAGAAGAGGAGAGACAGAGAATGTTTCATAAATTTTGGTTTTTAAATGACGATATGGAAAGGTATAATTACATTGCAAAATATGTGCAAATTATATCAAATGACAGTAATTCAAATTGTCATTTGTATTATTTTTTGGAAATTAATGAAATACGTGAAAAAGTTTGTCAAATAATGTTTGAGGCAACATTTGACATTAATGATAAATGGATTAAAACAGCCCTTCAAACATTGGGTCTTATACCACAAGATTTTGAGAAAAAAACAATAAATTTCACTCTTAAGCGATCGTTATCTCGGAATTTAATTTTGAAAAAAATTAAAAAAATCGCTAATTCGAATTCTAGGGAGGCAACTGAGACAGAAGGAGATGATCCAGAGATTATTGACATTTCGAATGATTCGTAAGTTTCTTTTGAAAATTTTTTTCGTGCAAACTTGATTTTTGATTATTTTTTTTTTTTTCAGAATTGACAATTATTCAAGATTTGAAATAGCAATGGTAAAAGAAGAACCAAAAGAAACACAGTCAATGGAATTAGTGAAAATAAAAGCAGAAGAACAAATAGAAATTGAAACAGTAAAACGAATAAAAATAGAAACAACAGAATCTTTAGAAATGAATGTAGAAGAAATATTAGAAACGAAAAAATTAAAAGAAGAGATAATAGAAGTAAATTCAGATGATGAGGAAATAATGGGAAATGAATCTGAAATTGATTTAGAAGAATTAGTGGAAATGGAAGAAGAAGATGAAGAAATAATACAAATTAATTCAGAAGGAGAGGAAATTTTAAATGAATTTCAAGTTGATTTTAAAAATATGAAAAAAGAAATAAGAAAATTTCCTTTGTCACGAAAGAAAAGAGGAAAATTTTGTAATAATAAATGCGAAAACGAATGTTATCTTACGAATGATATTTGTGATGATATTTTTAATTATTTCTGGAATATAGGGAGTCGTTATCATAAATTTGAATTTATTTCAAGACACGTGGATGTTGATCCCGTTATAAATCGTGTTAAAAAAATAATGACAATGAATATAAATTGTTTTTTGGAAATTAATAGTAAACGTATTATGGTTTGTCAAGAAACATTCATATCCATTTTAGGTATTAATAAAGAATGGATACACAATGTATTGAATTATTTTGGTAGAAATTTGTATGACAGTTCAATGAATGAGAAACAAAGATTAAAATCATTAAATTCAAAAGACATTTCAAAAAGTAATATTGACAGTGTTGTTGCATTTGAAGCTGGATTACCATATTTGACTAGTAAAGGTACAAGTTTACCTGGACGAAAATTAAGAAAAGCTTGTAATAATAAATGTGAATTTAAATGTAAAGAATTTTCTCATCGACAGAGAGAAGAAATTTTTCATAATTTTTGGAATATATCATGTCGTCGTAAAAAATACGACTATCTTTGGAATCATATAAAGAAAATAAGTTTTGAAAATACAAAAAATGTTTACAATGGGCGACAATTTTTTTTCGAAATAAATGGTGAAATAAAAGAAGTGTGCCCGACAATGTTTACAGGAACATTGGACATTGATATTGTTTGGGTGGAAAAATTGGATCAATTGAGGAAGTCTGTTACGTATTAAATTTTGTGATTTTAAATTACTTTAAAGGTGGAACATTTTTTTTTGTTAATATTCATTTGAGGATTATGTGATTTATATTTAATGTAATTTTTTTTCTAATAATATAATAATTACAGGATAATTTTATTTACAAGTTTTAAAAATAATTTTTATTTATTTTTTTTTTTTTGTAAAGAGTGTAAATATTACAATGACTTCATTCTAACGAGTTGAAAAAGTCAGTAAGCGTGTCAATTGTGGTAAATTAAATTCACAGACGGAGTTTATTATGTAAGATTTAAAAATGTGCATACCGGCAAATTGATGACTGTTAGGTATACTTTATATTGTGAATTATTTTCTCGCGCTATGTTTCTTTTCAATGAGGGCGTTGGCGTTTCTCATAATAAATGTTATTGACATTAAATTTCATGTATATGTGAAAATTTCAAAAAACAAAATAGTATTTCAAGTATATTTAATAGAAAGAGCAACAATTTATTCTCCTTTAGCTTTTTTATTTTTCTGTCAAAAAAAAAAAGATTTATTTATTTCTCTTTAAAAAACAATAAATTTAATTTTTTGATTTTTTAATATATCAATGAAAATAATGAAAATGATTTGAAAAACAAAATTATTGAATTCTTGTTAATAAAACTTTGAACTTCAATTCTTTTTTTTTTTTTTTATAATATATAAAATAATGTTACGTTAATCACGATAAATTGCATAATAAAAGCCAGTGCATCCATGTAAAGCATAAAATATCCAATGGTGTCTGACATTATCTTAATAGAATAAAAGAAGCTTTATAATATAGTATATGAAATCACAATTTAATCGAAAATAGAATAAAGAAGTCTTTCACAATAATAAAGAGAATGCTCTTTCATATATATATATATATATATAGAATGAAACCTTTTCTTTAAGACAATATAACGAGTTCAACATAACTGTAAATTTCCTGCGGGTCATTTAAAAATTTTTAAATAATCATATATCCGGGAAACAAAATTATTTTTAGAAAAAATTATTTATTTTTATGAGTCTTAAAATTTTTTTAATCTAATTTCTTTTCCGATTCAAAAGATACATTATTTGATGATAATAGATTTGTGGTTTCAGCGGTTTACGGAAACTAGTTTTTTTTTTTTTTTTTGACAAAAAAAAGTAAAAGCTCAAGTTAAATACGACATCGTGAGAAAATAACAAAACCGGTTTTCATTTTTCTCACAGTCGAGTTTTATAAGCATACAATTAAAGCTGCACTGAGCGAGAGACTCTTATTTTCTTGGAGTCAATTCTTCAAAGTCGCTTACTCGTAAATCTTTCAGCAATAAATTGTAACTTTCTTTCCTTAAGTGGAACACGTCAATGAATTATGCCAAAGTAAACGAACAGTTTATTTAGCATATTTTATGTGTATCAAGAAAATTTTCATATCTTTTTTTGAAATTAACTAAATTCTCAAAATTTTTTCATATAAATTTGTAAAAAGGAAATGGAAAACGTATTTCGATTTCTTTAATTTGAAGCTATTTTTTTTTTTTTGTATTATTGTGGCTCTTAATTAATATACAACACTTTCATTAACGGTAACCTTGATATTCATTTTGCTTCCGGTATTACTTATTGATATATTGACATCGATTTTTTTATATATTGTAAATCGGGTCATTGTCTTTATATATTGTAACGGCATATTACACTGAAAAAAAAATTTATTTGATTCAAATACCGGTGTATTTGGTTATTATCAAATAAATATTTACTTGAATCAAATATTTCTTATTTGAATCAAATATATAGTATTTGAATCAAATATTTCAGTATTTGAAGCAAATACCATTTATTTGATTCAAATAAGAAATATTTGATTCAAGTAAATATTTATTTGATAATAACCAAATACACCGGTATTTGAATCAAATAAATTTTTTTTTCAGTGTAATCATATGATTAATTTATTCTAAATTAAAGATTTCATAAACTAATTAAATAATTTTCATTTCATGTTTCATCGTTAATTTAAAAGTACAATTTTTTTTTTTTTTAATATATATATAACTTTTTTATCAACAAAAAACATGTTTTACATTTTATTATGCATTTAGTCATTATTATTCGTATTATTGTTGTTATTTTTGTTAAATATTATTAGTATACGCACTGGAAATTTTTCGTTTGTATTAAATAAAATTCTTGTAAAAAAAAGACAATATTTTTTTGTGTTAAAGAAAATATTTTCGTTGTGAAATATAATAAACACTTTTCCTCTGTTTTTACCTTTTTTCCGAGATAATCTTTTTTTTTTATAATACCAACAAATGAAAAAAGAAAATATATAATAAAAAGGTTTATAAAAATTATTTGCCTATTTTAATCGGACAATTTCCGCTGTCTTGAAGAACGGCATAGAATTAAGATTTTAAAAAAACTGACAGCGAAACAAATCGTGAGAACGTTAACCAATTCTGATCAGAGGAGAGTATGATTTATACACATCATTGAGAAATTCTGCCTCTATATAAATGAAAATTTTTAACTATTATTTCAATTTGTTTTTTAAATTCTTTTTTTTTTTTTTTGATATTATAAATACTAAAAGAAAAACGAAGTATAACTTTTGATTTAAAAATAATTGTAGATTATGAAATATATAAATGAAAAATTTGATAATTTTTTTTTTTATCTCAATCGATGATATCATAAAGTGATTTTTAAATGCTTTAAACACGAGTTTCAAATTAAAATTTATCGCAATGATCTGCAAATTCTCTAAACAAATGTTTAATTGGATAAATTTGAGGAATTTTCACTTTAAAACGTGCGTCAACTTTCTCAATATCACTTTAACTTGTGCGTGTATACAAACTGTTATTTTATTATGTGTGCAAGTAGAACATATCGTATTATCTTTTAATGTTAACACATCGCATGATGTTTAATTAAAGAGATAATACGATTGTAATAATTTTAATTCATTTAGTTAAATATCATTACGAATTTAATGTATAATATAAACATTATATATTAAGTATAATATATGTATGAAATATGTATAAATAAATAATATATTTATAATTAATATAGAAATTCGTATCTATTATATAAATATATATTTCAGAGTAATCACACATATATATATATATATATTGAAAAAAAACGATATGTAATTATAAATAAAAGTTGACTGTGTTTGTTAAAAATCATATAATTAAATGTTATCTCACGCGGGAAGTTTTCTTTCTGTAATTAAAAACGATATAACTTTCTCATTTTCAAGGTAATTCCAAAACTTTTCAAGGTTTTGAAAATAATTTTTTTTTTCGGTTTTAATTTGATGAGAATATGATTATTTATAGGAAGATACAAAAATAGTGATAGAGGCGTGGATCAGAAAGGAAGCTCTTCAACACACCTTTTTTTTTATTAATTTGGGTTAAATAGTACGAAAATATAATTTGATGAAAGAAAAATCACTTATATATTAATATTTTAATAAAATATATCTTAATATTAAATTCGAATTTTTTTTTTTCACTTTATTTGATTTTAAAATTATCGCAACGAACGAAAACTTTGAAATTGAAAAAATAATATAATAATAATAATATTTGCTATAATTGATTCTGAAAAAGATTTATATAATGAAAATATATTGAATTTTGTGAAACATTCATTTCATAGGGTGCATTTATACCCCTAAAGGGGTCTGCGCGGAATATTGTTTTCAAGAAGAAGCGGAAGCTGAAATTTTATGTGCGGCATGTCCGAAGACATTTCTATATATAGTTGTGAATATTCATGCGCATATATATATATATATAGTACATATATTTGTATTTTCTATGGTATGTGTACTTCGTAGTGAACGATTTACGTGTCTGGAACTCGAGGTATGTCCTCAACTCTTTCTTTGTGCCTCCCCTTTAACGTTACTTACATTTCGTTGCTCTAACCGCAATTAACAAAGAATTCATTAGGTTTCCGTTGGGTCGTTGCTTTTTTTTTTTTTTTAAATTGATTTCTTTCAGTTACTTATTTGTCAAAAGAAAATCATGTAAAAAAACAAAAACATATAGGTAAGGCCCCGCCTTGCGATATATTATATATAGAAAGAAGAAAATAAATTCAATTTTTTGTCTGTTTTGAATTACGCATGCGCGACAATTAAGAAACTACATCAAGGAATTTTTAGGATAATTTTTCGATTGGTATATAGAGTATATAGGTAAGGCCCCGCCCGTTTGTTAGAATAAGCAAAAGAAAATAATATTAATCTGTCTATTTTTAGTTATGCATGCGCGACAAATAAGAAATTGTATATCCTCAAAATGATTTTCTATTGGTGTAAAACTAGGCGATTGTGCACTGGCGCTGTTTATAGCAGAAAACATATGACAATATTTACGATTGAATTTTCTATTGGTCAATATATTCGTAACTGTTTCTATGGGCGCTTTAAAAAGAAAGCATTTCTTTTTTTTTTTGTCACGCATGCGCAACAGGCAAAAAGAAATTTCACCACAATTTTCGATTGGTCGAATATAGGTAAGGCCCCACCACCTACTTTATTGAAAGGAGAAATAAAATAAAATCAATTTTTGTCTATTTTTAGTCATCCTATGCGCGACAAATAAGAAACTATAAAGTTTCATGATGATTTTCTATTGGTGCAAAAATTATGCGCTTGCGCAATTTAGCAGAAAACATATATTTACGATTGAATTTTCTATTGGCCAGTAGCTTTAAGGTTAAGAAAGCATTTCTCGTTTTTGTCACGCATGCGCGACAATTAAGAAATTGAATCAAAAAATTTTCGATTGGTCGAATATAGGTAAGGCCCCCCCACCTGCTTTATTGAAAGGAGAAATAAAATAAAATCGATTTTTCTCTATTTTTAGTCACGCATGCGCAGAACTATGCGCCTGCGCACTGGCGCAGTTTAGCAGAAAACAAAGTGTGCGTCACACATTAATGACGTAATAATATATTCTATGTTTTTAATTTGAAAGAAATAAATTTAATTAATAAATTTAATTTTTCATTATAATTAAAAAATTAAAAAATAAAAAAAAAGCAAATAAATATTAGAAGGGAAATTAAAAAACAAGAGGAAAAATTGATGAAGAAGAGTAATTATTATTATTATAATGAATAGAAAAAATTATATTTGATAATTTATTGGATATAAAAGGGTTTCTTGATTATTAATAAAAAGCTTTAATATTATCTCTTCGCCCCTTATAATAATAACAGTTTAATATTCTGCATAGAATAATTTCTCTCTTTATAGGTTAAATAAACCTTGATTGAAACGCTTTCTTAATCATTCAATTACGTATAATTAAAATAGATTACATTTTCAGAATATATCCTCCCATATATATATATATGTGTGTATCTACGCTAATTAAGCATTTCTAATTACCTGAATTTGAAAGCTATGAATATTCAGTATTAATTAGATTTTTATATGTAAAATTTATTTTTAATTTCAATTACCCTCTATTTTGATGGTATTCTTCTTTTTTGTTTATCGACAATTGAAATAGTCTTCGTTTTATTACTCCTGAAATTTTTTTTTATTGTTATTATTAAAAAAAAAATTTCTAGTTCTTATTATTTTTTTAGTTATTTTTTTTAGTTATTTTTTTTTTATAGTTATTATTTTAATTTATTTTTAAATGTTAATAGTTTTTTTTTAAAAAAAAGTAACGCATAAGAAAAAAAAATATTAATATTCAAAAATAAGACTTAAGAAACAGTTTTAAAACATATATATATTGTTTCACTTTTATATTATTTGAAGTGAAAACGCTGACATCGAAAATCCTTTTATCTCTAATATGTACACGCGCCTTATGCTCTCATGAGGCATGATAATCAAATTGTGACAGGTAATCTTTATGTGCCGGTGTAGTATTAAAAGTCTGCGTGGTTGACTACAGAAAAGCTGCTTATATTATATATACACAAGATAGAAAATTAAGTTTCTTAGAAAAATATTCTTTTATCTTCTTAGAGACAATTGTTTTCTGTATATGTTACTATTTTTTTTTTTTTTTTAAACAAAATTATATCATTTCCTGTTTCATGCTGCAAATTATAATATCATTTTAAAATATAATATATATAATGAATTTGTTTCAAATATTAATTATAGTATTATTGTCACAAAGATTAATCAATAATTATTATTATTTATATATTATTTTTCATGTTATTTTTTATATTATTATTTATATTATTACTATTATTTATATATTTTTATCGTTATTTATATTATATTATTAATTAAATAGCGTATAAAAAATCTGTTTTTAATTAGAAGGAAAAGTATATGCATTTAAAGCGAAAGCATTCAAATTAGAACGGTTTTGCATTAAAACGCGCTTTCCATTCGGAAGCATTCAACGCTTTGAATATATAGGTATATGCATTTCACTTTCAAAGCACACACTCAATTTTGATATAGCGATTTGATATATAATTTAGTTTCGCTATTATTTAATTTTTGACTAATTAGAACTTTGTAATAAACAATTTTTGGAAAAATCTTTTTTTTTTTGATCTAGTATTTTTTCAACTATATACAATACTATAATTAACGATAAATAGTAAAAAAAAAATTGATTGAATTTTGACGCACCTAGAGTAGAAATTGAACTTTTTGCACTAGAGTGAAAAATACCAACTTTACGCACTAGAGCGAAAAGTAACTTTCTTTATAGGAGAAAGTTGCGGACAAATTTTCCTTATGAACATTAAAATATTCAAAAAAAAGATGATTATTTAAAAAAAATTTTAAAATGAGAATTTATTTTTTATTTCCGAGGTCTTTTTTTTATAAAGATTCACGAAAGGAAAAAATTCAATATTTTATAAAAGAATTTTGTTCATTTGCATTATTATCATAAAATAAATAGATGTCATATGACTATAAAGTCTTGCGCGCAGCATTATCGCACCCCCTCCATTTCATTGCATTTGCAATACGGGTCGATCACAATGCAGAAGGTGCGACATATATATATATATATATATATATATATATATATATATATATATATATATATATATATATATATATATATATATATATATAGAAGAATTTGACAAATTTCTCGAATTTTCCTCCTCAAAATTTTTATATATATATATATATATATATATATATATATATATATATAAATATAAAATTTTCCTCCTACGCAACCACTGCGCGTCTCCCTCTCTTTTCCAACTCTTTACCACCCGCTCTATTGCTATATGTATATCAAACTATATAGTGACTCCTTTTCCCTCAGTTCATTCGCTTATTTCATTCCTCTTGCAAAAGTCGAAGCGCAGTCGTACACCTGCTATGAAAGAGAGAGAAACACTACTCGTGCGATATTGCCGGAATAATTTTCTAAACGCGTGTTTTCAGCTTATTTTCCCCTTATAAATAAAGAAAAAAAAATATACATACACAATTTTAAAACGTTACAGTTTTGTAAAATCAATATCGATCGTCCTCAATTCACGGTCTTTTATTGCTATATATATATTATAAAAAATAGAAAATAAAAATACTCATTTTATTTCAATAAGTGCAATTTATTATGTGCTTTCGTTACAAATGTGGAAATATATATTTTTTTCTATTGTTAAAAAATGTTTTTCTTCATCAAGAAACAAAAAAAGGGATTAATAATGGATATATAAAGCTGAAATGGTAAAGAAATACCGCGAAAGCAATTATATATTTCATATAGATTTTAGAAAATATTTTTATTATATTATAACTAAATAAAATAATATATAAATTAACTATTTTTGTTATTATATTAATTATTATATATATATTATTACTACTTGTTATTATTTTCATGATTATATAGAGTGCGATTTAATTATTAAATACCGCTGAGAGTGGTAAAAAGTAAAAATATAGTAATTAATTATTATATTAATTATAATATTGTTATTATATTAATAGGAGAGTGTTCATATATTATAATAGAAAATATATCATTTCGTTAAATAAATAATTTTGTCGTGTAATTTTTCTTTTCTTTTTTTTGTCGAAAAAAAGTTCCTGTACTTTTATTTTAATAATGAGAGCGTAACAATAAATTCTGTATATACAATATATATATATATAGTAAAAATATGAACTTATTTATCTTATCTCTATTGAGGAATAACTTTAATAATTATCTATAGTAATCTATAATATACAATGCGAAATTTCTATAATAATAACTAATTTCCGTATATATGTTTCATAATAAACAATTTTCAAACTAAAACTATGTACAAAAGTTTTATAATTGCGTTATTAATTTTGATAATGATTGATCGAACTTTCGGTATAATAGCAAAACGATTCTAATAACACTTAATATTCATTAAGAAACGCTAAATTGGCTATAATTTCCTAATAGATTATAAATTATATTCTAATTTTAATAATGCTTTTACTATTTTCTAAATTATAAATTAATTATAGAAATTTAATAATTGTTCTTTTTTAAACGGAAATCATTTGAGAAAAATCCATATTTCTATATACATTTGCCTTAAAAAGGCAAATTTAAATTATTAAAAATTATTGAAAAAATCAAAATATATATTTATATAATTGTATATAATAACTAGTAGAAGAAAAAATTGTATAATAATAAAAATAACAATAAAAACAATAGAATAATAATAATAATAATAATAATAATAATAATAATATAAAAACAATAAACAGTTATTTTATATTCTTGATATTTTGTAAAGGGTGTATCACCCGTTTATTTGTAAATAAACAAAAAAAAAAAAATATATATATTTACTCTCTAAATCTGAATTAGTAAAAATTAAAAATGTTTACTAATTTAAATTAGTGATTCACTTTTAGCTTTTAGACTTAGTTAAATTTTACTAATTTTTAGTAAAAGTTAAAAGATTGTTTGGGGTTACGATTTTTAGTTAGTAAACTATTTATACTGCTGCTAATTTATTTGTTGTGGTTACTATTTTTATTGATTGGCATAACTATTTTATTAGTTAGTTTAACTAATTAGTTTCTTGGAATAACTATTTAATTAGTTATCTTACGAACTAAATGGTTAGGCTGACTAAATGTTAACAGTATGACAAATTTATAAATTAGCAAAAATACTCTTACTAACGAAATGGTAATTGCAACCAATCGTTTCTCTCAAGTATTAGTAAAATTTTACACTCAGAAAAAAGATATGTTTGAACCAAATATACCATTTTTTTATAATTACCCAAAATTTGGTTGCTTCAAACGAATTTTTTTCTGAACTAATTCAGTACTAATTCAGAAGTAAAAAGTGAGTGACTAATTCAAATTAGTAAACATTTTTACTAATTTAGATTTAGAGAGTAAAAAAAAAAAAAAAAAAGTAATGACATTTGTCATTGATTGTAAAGTGTTCCACTGACCGATTTTTTTTTTCTCGTATTTTCTAGAAACTTGTATATATCAATCAATCTAATCATTCATATAATTTACTAAGACGCAAATTCGAGTTTTACGAAATTAAAATTTTCTCATCTTCCGTGCGATGATGATGTTTTTCACGCTTCTTTGATATATATATATAATGATTCAATAGAATTGTTCAAGAAAACGACGAGTGAAATTTTTATTTATACTCTCATTTACAGATTTATAATATAATATATATTAAAGAAAAAAATTCAGTGAACAAGAAAAAAAAAAATTTTTTTTTTTCGAAAAGATTGGCGCCACTGTGTTTTTATATATTTTATTGATTAGTGACGCGCGGGGGTGTATATAGAAAGTAAAGAAATTTTTCTCCCACTGTGTGTGCGCGAGGGAGAAGCAGTATCCGCAATAGGAGGGATGATGATGGTATTCGAGGACAAGTAGAGGAATTCTCTCCTGGCGGCAAAATATATATATACGCATTCAGTCGAAATTTTGCGGGGGTGGATGGTGGAACGTTTCCGCGTGTAGAAAATCGATTTTGAAGCCACGCCACTGCATCGTCGCGTCAAGTGCAATGGCCTCCAAATCAGGAAGGACCTATTCTGTAAGGTAAGGAAATGTTAAAAAAAAAATTTCGATTATTCATTTATTAAAATTTATTTAGAATTTTCCATAGGAATTTTTAACTGAAAAAAAAAATTTATAATTCAAATAAAAAGTCAATTGAGCTGCCGGATCAAAGAAGGGCACATAACCCATTTGAATTACATTATTTATGTGCCCTTCTTTTGATCCGGCAGCTCAATTATAAATTTTTTTTTAGTGTATTTTTAATTTTGAGGTAAATATATTTTTTTCGTTTGCAATTATATATTATTCATATAACATATTAACACATGTAAGTAACCTTTATGTCCCACGCTTACTAATTTATTTTACGAGCAGGTGCACTCACCCACAATTTTTTTTTTTTTTTTTAATATTCAGCGATAAAGAAGAGAAAGGTATTGGATAAGGCAATAATTGCCAGCAATTACTTTTTCGTCAAAGGGTAATCCACGTGATTTGGAATCACTATTAAAAATGATTTTTGGTTATAAGAAAAGAAAGTACAGTTTATTTATTAAATATAAATAAATTAATTAAAGTTTCGTAAAATTAATTACAAAATTAATTTAGAAAATATAAATTATTTTGTTATTATTAGTTAATTTTAAAATTAATTTATTTAAAATTAATTTATTTAAAAATTATTGAGGTATTTATATATATACGATTACCTGCGTGTTTTGAAGTTTAATTGTATATTAAATTTAATTATTAAAGGTTAATTATTCACTTATAATATCTTGTATTATAATCATTTCATTTTACATATATCAGATACAGTATCAGAGATAGTAGTTTTAAACTATATTTAAATATCTTATCATTGCTCCATCAAATCAATTTTATTCATATTGAAATTCAATAATTTAATAATTTACCTACAATATTGATTTAGCTGCGCCCAGTAATTTATTTATAGAAGGAAACTTGTCTTCATAGATTATAAATTGTTTTTTTTTTTTTTTTTTGGAAAAAATTTTCAAAAAAAATAGAAATACCGAAGTAATTTTTATTTATTTTTTCATTTTTATAAAAGAACAAAAATTTGCAAATAGATAAAAATTTGTTTTCATTTAGAAAAAAAATTGACATTTGAATGTTATTATAAATAAAAATTAATATCCGCTTTGTCAGTACATGTAATCAATCAATTGGCGATTGAAAAAAAAAAACCTTTACTTGACCTTTATTATATTTATGAAAGGAACAATTTTTATAACTATATATATTGTATACAAAACTATGGAATTATTGTATGGTCAATAATAAAATACATTGATAATAAATATAAATAATTTCTATTGAATTCAATACAATGAAATATCTAAATATGTATTTAGAATATAAAATCTTAATAATTATCTATACACTGAAAAAAAAATTTATTTGATTCAAATACCGGTGTATTTAATTATTATCAAATAAATATTTACTTGAATCAAATATATAGTATTTGAATCAAATATTTCAGTATTTGAAGCAAATACCATTTATTTGATTCAAATAAGAAATATTTGATTCAAGTAAATATTTATTTGATAATAACCAAATACACCGGTATTTGAATCAAATAAATTTTTTTTTCAGTGTAATGATAATAATTAACCAAAAAAATGATTTTTAAACTGTAATTTAATATTTACTTTTTTTTAAAATAAGATAATTTTAATTAGTTTTTCAATCAAAGTAATTGTTAATAATATATGGAAGAACTAATTTACTTTGTCCTAAATTTTAAAAAAATTTAAAAAAAAAAAAAAAAGAAGAGTATATTAGGAAGTCAACATCCGGTGACAGTGTAATGTGACAACCTACACGCTTTGACGATTCAATAATGAAAGGAACGTGCGGAGAAAGATCTCAAGCTGGTTTTACCAGAACTTATATAATATTCCGGGGAGACCTTGAACTTGATCAAGGTGCTTCCCACATATATATATATATATATATTGAAATTGACGAGCTTATATTGCAGGTGGTTATTTAGTCAAATGCCTGTTATTTGCCAATATATATATATACAAAACCCTCCAGGATTATTTACTTTTCTTTTTTAATTGCATTTTTTTTTTTTTTTTTGCAAATAAAATTATTTCAATCAAATTTTTTTTAATTAAATTTTTTTAAATTTACATTATTTATATTACATTTTTTAAATTACATTTTTTTTTAAATACATTTTTTTTTAAATTTAATTAATTGTAATAATATAAATTTACAGAATAATTATTAAAAGGCAGCAACGCTTATTTTATTTTAATCCAATTTTGCCTATTTTAATCCATTTTGGTATTAAAAAATAAGCAAAATTGGATTAAAATAATAAGCGTTATTGCATCTTATTTTAATGCCCTTTTAATTTTCTGTATTGTTAATTGAGAAAATTTATAGACTTTATTATATAGAAGCAATTTACGTTCACTATACTGGTATTGAGCTAATTTCTAATCCGAATAGATTTTCTAGATATAATTCGTCAAACTTGTCAAGAAATCAAGTTGACATTAATTCAATTTATTTCATATACAACATCGTTATATTCAATTATCATCATCATATCGAACTGTCAGTGATTTAATTTCATTCAATTTTTTTTAATTTAGGATAATTAATAATAAATTAATTTTATCAATAATAAATAATAATACTGAAATAATTAAAACATACCTAAATAATAATAATAATAATAATAATAATAATAATAATAATAATAATAATACTGCCGTACAATGTAAAAAGGTATTTACGCCTCTTTTACTTTGGACGGCAAAATAATAATATTAATAATGTTAATAATAGTTATAATAAAAATAATAAAATTAATAGGTGTTAATTAATTAATTGTTATTAATTAAAAAAAAAATGCTATGAATGAAGGCAAAAGTCGTTTTCGTAATGAATAAAATTTTACAGAAGAATGTTACATAAATTTGTAATATTAAAAAATATATTATTATTTTCTGCATAGTAATTTGCGTATAGTAATTTTATTTTAACGGATGTTACTATATATATATATATAAATAGTTATAAATTAAAGGTTTATAATAATAAATATATTACCTATCGCTAAAATATATTATAATACATCCATGTCTTATATTCTTTTGCCATTTTAGCCGCTATCGCAAAATCTCTGAGTTATTTGACGTCTACAATATAATATGTAACATTACAAAATGCGTTTCCATTGCATTTATATAGAACCTGTGAGAGATAACGGGGAAACTATATAGCGCTGACTCAGAGATCGCGTTTTGAAGAACATTAGAAAAATCTGCCAAGCAGAATTTACGATGCCACACTAATCTTTAGTTTCCTGAAAAAAAAAAAAAAAAAAAAAAAATTATCTACGTCTTGTGAGTTATGAACAAACATTATAATTAAAAGACCTTGACAAAAAAAAAAGTACCTAATTGCAAAAATAGAAATTTGATTTTCAAAATTTTTGTTATTTATAAAAAAAATTATAACTTTGTAAAATTAAAATTCAATAAATAAATTAAAAATGTGAATAAATGAATAAAAAACAAATGTGGAAAATTTTCAATTCCTCTTGAAAATATATATTTAAAAATAATTTATTTAAAAAAAAAAAAAAAAAAAATGAATCGAAACAAGACGCACGTAATGGAAATAATAAAATTTTAAGAACAATAATAAACTCATAAATAATTCAAAAATTTATGAAAGTAGATAATACACAAAACATACATTATTTTTATCTTTTTTTTTTTGTATTTTCTTTATCCATATAATATGACAAAATTTATGAGCGTCGCAATATTAATTCAAGTTTGAAGTATATAGAGGTGTAAAAATAACGATAATTAGTGTTAACACAGCCGTGTCAGAAAAGCCTTGAAGTTAACAACAAACGAAGACGCAATGATTGTCAGCACGTGAATTTTAAATGTCCTTTTGTGTCATATTTTAAAATTGCCTATAACGAAAATTTTATAACAATCGTTTTATTATTCGTTTCCTGTCTGGTATATATTTTAACTCATTTTTTTTTTTCGTCATTTTTGTTTTTTATTTTGAGGTGTTAAATTTCGTTTCTATTGTGAAGAAATACATATACAATTATATACATTGATCACAGTCGAGTATTCAACCATATGACCTAGAAAGATTTCTAATTTACTCAGTTATAACTTACATATATGTTAGCTTAGCTTTGTCATATTGTCGCACTTGAGTATATATTACCCTCAGCATTGGTGTAAAAGTTAGCAATAGATTTTTTTTTTTAAATACAAAAATTAAATAAATTAATTATTAATAATAATTCAATAGAAATTAATTAATATTAAATTAATTAATTTATTGTTATATTTAATTTAATTTTAATATTTTTAATTTAAAAAAATATATATATTTAATTGACCATCAATAATTCATGTTGAATTTTCAGAATTATTTATAAAAGAGGAAATCAATTAAAATCCGCATCTTATGTAAAAACGTAAAATGAATAATAACCTTGAAAAGTATATACTTTTTTTTTTAATATCAACGCCTTTAGGCTAAATATATGTTTGCGTAATAGAAAATTGTTTAAAATCTGTGGAAAAATCCTTTTTTTAAAAATGATATTAAATAAATAAATAAAATAGTTAAATTAAATTAATAATTAATTATTATACTTAAAATTTTTAATAAATTACAAAAAGATAAAAATAAAGATGTTAGTTTGAAAATTAAATAATTCTCGCTATATCAAAAGAAAATTATGTATAAGTTTATAAAATTCTTATGTGACACCCTATAATTTTCGTTGCGCATTTCTCTGTACTTCTTTTTCCACTTTTTTTCCTTTTTGTTGTATATATATATATATATATGTAGAACATGCTTGAGATCAAATTACAAAGATAGGGTTTCTTTTGCCGTACCGGAAGTTTATCAGAAAATATACGAGGGGATATAAATTTATTTGAACTCAAAGTCAAATAATACTTTGCAATAACTAAATTGCAAGTAACTGCTAAATGCAC